AAAATGAGATGTACTGAGGGATATAAAATGTATTGATTGGCTTTTATAGATCCCAGGAGCCCTTTACCTCCTCCAGAGGGGTGATGGAGGAGCTTTCGCCTCCGTAGTAGGGGTTCCTGTCCATGTGCAGGACCTTTTTCCCGTTCACGGACATGATCCCGGACAGAATGCATTCCTGTGTGACACAAGATTTAACATCACCATCAATTTGAAAAATGAGGGTGGAGCTGTCTTTAAAGGAGAGAGGCAGATTTAATAGAAGACATGAATACAAGTTAAGAGATGTTCACAGAAGGCTGCAGGGAGGGCAGAAGGAGCGGTGTGCGCATGCGCGAATAAACCGTTTCACCCATATGTATCTACTGTAATAATAATAATGATAATAATAATAATAAATAATGGCAATAATGTGTGTTCTTGAGAGCAATATCCGCATGACATTATCACATCATTAAATACTGACTATCGTGGCTGCTCATTGACAGAAATGATATTTGATACCTGTTATAAAACTACAAAACGTCGACTTTAATGCGCCTGAACCCTCGATTAACATCACAAATGCACCGTGGCGTGTTTCTGCCGCATTGGGTGTGTAAGTGGAGGCAATTGCGGCGAGTGTAGCAGCAGTGAAGGGGCTCAGTCATTTAATAAACCCGTGCTCAGGCCTGCGCCAACCTCAGGATGGAGGCCTGTCTGTGCAAAGAGGACCATGACACACTGGGGTTACGCCTAAAAGATGCTACAGGGTGTAACACAACGCTGGAGCCGGCTGTGAGGACAATAAAATAACTCCCGGGCGTCATGTTTGCTTCCTGTCATGCACGAACAGGTCGAAGTACATTTGGTCACATTTCTCTTATCATCATTTTGTAATGTCACAAGCACACAGGGGGATGCAGGAGGCGTTCACGGCTCGGGAAAGATAAGAGGATAAAACGGCTGCAATAAAAATGGAAGCTCACACAATCTGTTTTTTGTCTCTCTGCAAATGAGGCTTGACTACTTACTGTGAGTCCGGTGCCCAAAACGATCACATCATATTCCTCATCCATGTTGTATCACCGCCTCTCCCGTCTCGCCCTCTTTTTGCCTTGAGAAATGAAGGGTATTGAAGGAAAGAATCACCCGTGAGTCCACAAAAACCGGGCTGCTCGGCTCCCTGTTTTCTGCCCGCGTGCTCTAAACGGCTCGTTCAAAGTGGAATATTATTTATTAATCATTAGGCATTAATGACCAATGGAATAAACTGTCCACACTGTCACCGGCGAGGACGACCAAAGATGGCCCTGATCGTGGAGCACTCTAGAACAATGTCAGTGCGCGTCGGGAAGTAGTGCGCATCCTCCTTCTCTCTTCCCATTTGGCCAACACAATGGACTCAAACTGTAAAGCTGGCTGTGAGAGGAAACCCGGCTCTCAGCTGGCTTTATCGAGCGATTATACGCATTTTTAGTTTCGTTTTATACTTTGACTCGGAGTTTAGGAATTTTTGGGGCGTTTTAAATAATTTTAGTCCAAGTGTGTACGTTCTGTTTTCTTTTCTATCCTTCCTTTCCAGTTGTAGGCGCAGCGTTGCGCGGATGCAGGCAGTGGTATCCCTCCGCCGCCACAGCTGTGTGGATGGGAGTTGCTTTCACTGAGTGAACACACGCAGGCTGTTTTCAATAGAAACAAAAACTGTTCAAAACTTTAAATTCTTAGCTTGTTTGTCTCTGTTTCACAGTGTTTATATATGTGTGTCATATATGGATGTTAGGACATGAAGACACGAGGGGGTGATATGCTCAAATTTAAGAGTGTATCAGCACCATGGACAGTTGCCAGGTGTACCTGTCATTCATTGATAAAGAGCAGTTCAGCTGCAACATACACTCTGTCTGTGTGTGTGTGGCACATTCAGTATCATGACAGCTTGTTTTTATAGCTTAAAATATTTTGTCATGTACTTAAGTATACACTAACAAGCATTAGCTAATGGTGGAAGAAGTATTCCAGTCATTTACCCAAGTAAAAGTATTAATATGTCACTGTAAAAATACTTTTTCATGTAAAAGTCCTGCATTAAAAATACTACTCACTTAAAAGTTTTTAAAAATTATACATTTTTCAACTATCTGTTCAATAAGTTTTCAACATTATACAAAAAGAAAAGAATATATAGAATATCAAATGAATGAGTGTTTACAAAAGTCCTATCTTTTCTTTAAAATAAATACATGCATGGTGACAAGTGGTATTAAAGCAAATGGAAAATTATAACACACTCACACACATACAAAAATAAGTAAATAGGAACACAAACAGCGACTAAATAATAATGATAATAAAACTTCAAGTACTTAAAACAAAAGTATTTGATGCAGAAAATGTCACCTGTGACTGTTATACTATTATATTTTATACCATTAGATTATCATTGGTGGAATAAGTATTTAGATCCTTTACTTGAGTAAAAGTTCAAATACCACAGAGTAAAAATACTGTTACAAGTTAAAATCCTGCTCTGAAAAAGTTACTCACCTAAAAGTATGAAAAAATTAAGGAAAATATACTTAAAGTATTAAAAGTAAAAAAAAATAAGTGATGTCAAAAATGTCCCTTTTGACTGTAATACTATTATATATTACATCATTAGATTATCACTGGTGAAATAATTATTTAGTTGGGGCGGCAGTAGCTCAGTCCATAGGGACTTGGGTTGGGAACCGGAGGGTCGCCTGTTCAAGTCCCCGTCCAGACCAAAATATGGAGCGTGGACTGGTAGCTGGAGAGGTGCCAGTTCACCTCCTGGGCACTGCCGAGGTGCCCCTGAGCAAGGCACCGAACCCCTCAACTGCTCGGAGCGCCTGTCATGGGCACTCTGACATCTCTCCACTTAGTGCATGTATAGGTCCAGTTTGTGCATGTGTGTGTTTGGACCTATGTGTAATTGACAAGAGAGGGATTAATAAAGTATATAAAATTTAAAAAAAAATTAAAATTAGATCCTGTACTCAAGTAAAAGTACAAATACCACAGAGTCAAAATACTGTCACAAGTAAAAGTCCTGCATTACTCACGTAAAAGTATGTAAAAAATATATGGATACACTTTAAGTATTAAAAGTATCTAATGCAGAAAAAATGTCCCTTGAGTGTTGTGGTATTATATATTATATTGTTAGATTAAGTAATTAGATGTTTTACATAAATTAAAATATGAATACATCACTGTAAAAATACTGTTACAAGTTAAAATCCTGCATTGAAAAAGTTACTCACCTAGAAGTATAAAAAATATAAGGAAAATAAGTTTTAAAAGTATTTGATGCAGAAAAATGTCCCCATGTAACTGTTACACTATTATGTATTATGTCATTAGATTATCATTGGTGGAAAAAGTATTCAGATCCTTTCCAAGTAAAAAAAAGTTTACTAAAGTATATTTGATTTAAGTACACTTAGTATACTTCCATGAGCACATGATTAATATACTAAAACTGTGCTATTTTCAAGTGTACTAACAATGTGTTTAATACACTAATTATATGTCTTTGGTGCATCTAAAGACACACTAAAGTACAACTAAGTGACCATTAACATGCACTTAAATATACCTAAGTACATATTTTATTGCTCATTCTGTACTTTTAAAAAATATACTTTAACTTTTTTATTCTGGAAGAATTTTTCAATTATAATTTAAGTACACTTGAAATGCATAATGAATTATAATAAATTCTACTAAAAATATATATACTTTTTTAATATTTTAATTTAATTAAAAATAATGTTTTGTATATTATAAGTGTATTAGCAATTATCTGAAAAATGCATTGAAATATACTTTAAGTCTGATACTTTTTTTTTTTTTTAAGATATTTTTGAGGGCATTTTAGCCTTTAATTGATAGGAAAGCTAAGTATGAAAGGGGGGGGAGAGAGAGGGAATGACATGCAGCAAGGGGCCACAGGCTGGAGTCAAACCCGGCCGCTGCGGCAACAGCCTTGTACATAGGGCGCCTGCTCTATCCAGTGAGCCACCCATCGACACCCCAAGTCTGATACAATTTAAGGCTCTCTAATAAGAATAGGATTCAAATATTTGTCAGAATTTGGAGCCCCATTCCAGACTACTTCAGGAGTGGTGGATTGTAATGGACTGAAAGTGTAACAGTAAACCCTCTATCGTTGTGTAGGCCCTATATGTATTTCACTTTACTAGTTATATTGAAGTCCTTGGACTTGTTTCTTGTTTTTCATCTTGTGAAGATATTTGTGACTGAGTTTTTAAGATGATGTACTGAGCTTTTGTTTTATATTAAAAATCCTAAACACGCTACTTCACCACTTTAAATTCCTGCATTCAAATCCTTACGATAAAAATATGTGTTATCAGCAAAATGCTCTTTAGGTAGACTATTAAGAGTAAAAAATACTCACTATGCAGTAAAATGGTCTCTGTCACGGTGTTTTACTGTGATATGTTTTATAATAATATGCAGCATTAAAGTGCATGAAGCATTATTTCCACCTTTTATACTGCTGATGAGTTTAATCTACAGCAATTAATCATGTTCTATAAGATTAGCATTTGTAAAAAGGTGTGAGATCATTTTCAGCTACGTGTTGATGCATTTTCCAGTCGATCAGAGAGGATTTTAAAGAGTTAATTTATCTTAAGAAATGGGAGAATTTCCTCAACACATAAAGGAACACTTCCTCCTTCAGTTTAACACAAACACTAGAGTTATGAATCACCAAATGTGGCACTAGCATTGCAGCAGTGGCGCTAAAAGGAAGTCCCTGGTGGCTAATGCTAGCCAGCTAATGTTCACACTGATTTTGAGTTGTAACGTGTCCAGGACAAAATGGACAGAGCTGCAGTGTGTGGCGGGTTCAGGAGAGCAGCTGTGGGCAGGGCATGTTTGTGCGGTGATGGGGCAGGGCAGCAGTTCAGAATGAAAGAAGAAGCCGGAAGTCGCGCGAGAGCACATGACTGTCATCCCGCTGTCAGCTGGTCTGCGTCACGTGAGCACAGCTTTGCGGAAAAACGAAAAATGGCAGGATCGAGGTGGTTGAGACGAGACAGATTAACGGCGTTTATCGCCTTTTTATTCGCCCTTTTCTCTACAGGGAGCTCCACTGCCCAAGTGCCGCTTCTCATGTGGTCCAATGACGGGTAATATTTTATTTTTAATCACGTATTTATCACGTAAACGTCACTTTTAACGGTCAGCGCGTACCGGCTGTTTGTCATGCTAATGTCATGCTAACACTTGTTGCTAACTGTGTTTGTGCTTGATTAGACTAGCTGGTTTAGCTTAAATTAATAGTTTCGAGGCTATAAACAAAATATGTGCTGTTTGTTTTCACCTACAAACCTTACAGTGTTTCTCAGTTGATTGTTACAATCGACAAATAAATATTAGGATTCTTAAAACACTGTGAAAACTGATATCCATAGCTAATTTCTCTCAATCAGATGCATTCATTTTCGCTTCCGTACACAATTTAATGCTCCAGTAATGCAGTGAGTTAGCCTCTGTGATCAAAATGGATCTGTATTACTCTCAGATGTTGTTATCACAGGGTTGGTAAGTAGCACCAGCAACCAGCCACCAGCCAGATGCTAGTAAAATACGCATGTGGCTGCTAGATTTGCTTCACTCACCAGCCAAAACAACAATGTTAATCTATTGAATGACTGCTAGATTTTGCAATCCACCTGCCACAGTGCTAGGTGAAAAAAAGCAAACTTCCAACCCTGGTTTATCAGCATGCTAATGTCATGTTTTGCCAAATATAATGCTAAAGAAATTGACAGTGATGATGCAGCATCACAAATAGAACTGATATGTACCTGTAAACTACAGTTACTTAAACAAACTTACACCACAGGCGATGAAACTGAGCAAACATAAGGAGCAGACACACATTAGTCAGGGACAACAGGCCGCTCATACGGAAGTAAAATATGAAAGAATAGTACTGCAAGAGGACATCACAGCTAGTTGAGGGTTTCACTTTGTCAACTTCTTCCACCACAAATATGATGGTTAGAGAGGAGCAACCAGCATGGCTGTGGCTACAGCATTGTCTTCTTGTTATACTGTTACACAAGTATGAGTTGCAAATTAACCACAGAGGAAATTTATGAATGTAGGACTTTGACTCAGAGCTCGAGTTTTGATGTTAACCATTCAGCTGGCTGTGGAGTTAATTTTACTTCCCTATTTGGTTACTGTAGCTAAGTGTGAATGAGAAATTAAATCCACAAATGCAGTTTTAGTGTGAATGTGTTACACTGACACAGTTCCTGTGATGTTTGACCTTTGATTTGGTGTCAGTGAGACACTGGTTGATGTATTTTGGTACATAAGTTAAATGTTATAATTGACAGGCCTTTTCAGAAATGATGATTGTACTTGAAGTGTATCTTCACCCCCAGGTCTCACTGCACCCACTGCATACTTTTGAAAAGCTAAGGGGGTGAGGCAGGAGTTGAGTAGAGGACATTCCTTAATTTAATGACATGGATAAGTCCCCACCAGTTGTATCTATGTCAGCACTGGTTTTGCAGAGTCCAGAGTTGATGTGGTTCATCACAGTGCAGTCACATCATTTAGTTTACAGCTCAAATAACATGTTTTAAGTGTGTAGTACCTCTTTAATATACTCACAGTTGCACCTGAGAACAGTTGTTTAAGATATCACAGTTTATCTTCATCTCTTCTGCATGTTCAGTTTACCACCACTGGCCTCACCTGCAGCTGGTCACATCACGTCCAATGAGCAGCTGTCTGCCTACCTCACCTCTGCCTTTGGTCACGGCCCCCACACTGTGCTGTTGTTCATGCAAGACAAGGTCAGTGTCCAAGACAGCAAATTCTTTATTCCTGCTCTGCAGCAAACGTGGTTACAGCCACTAAACAAATTGGAGCTGAGGGTGAAAAGTGTCAAGGAGAAGTCAGGGCAACTTTTTGTCTGTATAGCACATTTCAGGAGTAACACAGTTAAAAGTGCCCGGCGCAAAACATCAAAAACATTGAGATGGTGCAAAAGAAACACATTATAAAATGACATTTAAAAACAAGCTAAAAAGAATACAACTGGTATAAAATACAAGAACAAAAGTTACAGTGCAGTGTAAGAAATAAAGTCTTAAGCCTTGATTTAAAAAAACAGAGTTGCAGCAGACCTGCAGTTTTCTGGGAGTTTGTTTTAGATTTATGGTGCATAAGATACCCGTGAAAAGGACTTCTCTCTCTCAGCTTGTTCAGGTTTTCATAGATTTCACCATTCATCAGTTAGAAAGCCAGTCATTGGCTGTGTACATTGGGTAAAACAGGGTAGTAATGAGTCATGTGTAGTTGTGCTGCAGACCCATGTGACACTGTGTAACGGTCTTCTCACTCTGGTGTGACAATGAGCTTTGGCATTACTTCCCCTTTCACAGTTCCTCTGCAGCACATTGTTATCAGGTCTGTTCTCTGTGATTAATGGGATTGATGGATGTTTTGGTTGCATTAAATTTTTTGTCTTATTTACATGCAATTGGTTTCCCACTTCCCAGCTCGTGTTTTTGAATTGTGATATTGTGTCATCCTTGTTTGTGTCCAGTTAAGCAAAGACGACTTCACAGTCTTTGGTGGAGTGTTTGGAAACAAGCAGGACGGGGCCTTTCAAAACCTCAAGGTAGATTTTTATAACTCCACATATGAGCCCTAAATGAAGATGATTTGTGAGGCTGATGATACTGACAGTTCTTTCCACTCACTCCTCTTCAGGCTGCACTGCAGTCCTCTTCCTCGTCAGTGACGCTCCCTGCGTTAGAGTGGTCAGACGCCTCTGTCGTCCTGGCTCTGCTGCAAGAGAAGCTCGGTGTCTCACCACTGCTTGTGGATGCAGAAACTCTGTCACATCTCAGCATCAACACATCTGCCAGCAATCTGCTGCTCATCAATCTCCCTTATTGTACAGGGTAAGACTTGTGCTCTGCAGCGTATCTGTCAGTGTAAGTTTAAGTTTCATTTTCCTTTTAAACTCTGCAAAAAATTGACTTTGTTTTTTTTTTTTTCTTTTTTCATTATATAGCGTGGACAAGCCTTGCAAGGAAGTCCTGCACAAAAATGGTATGTGTTAAATGTTTATGAATTTCATAATGGAAAATTAAAAGCATTTTTGCCACTGTTTAATATATTTTTAACAATGTGTAACTTCAGTGTATTTTGCTTTCAACAGATGAAATCATCGGGAAAGTTCTCAGTGTTATGAAAGACAAAAATGTCCTGTACACTGCAATGTACACAGGACTCCGGCCGTCACGAGTAAGATATCCTGTACCACAGTTATACAATATTTATTTATTTGTGACGAATTCTGTCCTCGCCCAACATCATCTGCAGTAAAAAAAATCAAACACACCTGTCCCATGAAGTCATAAAGCGTTATGATATTGATTTTGATTACTTACCTCTGCAGGTGATTTCAGAGACGTCTATGTCCCACCAGCACGCGGGGCGGACCTTGCTCCAAGCACCTGTGATTGATGTCAAAGCGCCCATCATATTTAACATGTCGGGTAACCCTTGCATAATGCTCTGGGTTCAGAATCTCAATGTCAGCGTCACTCCGGATCGACAGTGGATCGACCTCGCCACACAAACACCTTCTTTGACAGGATCCATGTGCAACGCCAGCAGCTCACTGTGAGATGGCCTGCAGTTTTTTTGTGCTTGTTCAAGAGAAACTTTTCAAGAGAATGGAAATTTAAATCTTTCCTTCTTTTTTCACTTTAGGCTTGTCCTCAGTTATGCATCAGGCTTTACTCTAAGGTAAGATGATAAACTGCTAATTTAAAGGAATAGTTAGACATTTTGGGAAATTGGCTCACTGTCTTTCTTATAAAGAGTTAAGGCCCTGACACACCAAGCTGACAGTCGGCTATTGGTTGATATCTGACTGTCGGTGAGCATCTGTGGCCCTCGTCACTGTGGTGTGTCTGCACTGTTGGCTCTTGTCTGCACTAGTTGGCTTTTTTACCACTGATTCAGCATGTTGAATTGGCATCAGTGACAGCAGAGCCTGTCGGTGACAGGCAGTTCAATTCAGCGCATGGGAAGAGAAACTGAAATGAGGAAAGTAAACAAAGAGCTGAAGTCAAGAGGGAGTAAGATAAAAAAAAAAGTGTTGTAATGTGCTAACTAGCGTCAAGACAGTTTTTCAGGATCCCTTTGTAAATGACGAATACAGACTACCACTGGTTGCTGGTATGGAGAGTTAGCTCCTCTCACACGAGTGCAGAATGTATGTGTTGGTTGGCCGTCAAATTCTTTGCAATGTGTTTGACGCAGTAGCAGGCCTTCATTGCCGCTAGTTCTCTGAAGTCAGTTTGTTGTGTCTGAACATTAATACTTCTCTTATAGCTGTCAGTTATATACGATGCCCAAGCCAGTTAGTTTAGCTTAGCTTAGCACAGAGACTGGAAACTGTCATCCAATCTCTGTCCCAAGGTGGCAAAATCCTCTTCCTCCACCTCTAAAGTTCACTTACAGGTCATATCTCGTTTGTTTAATCCAAACAACAACAGAAATGTAAAAATTTCCTTTCTTGGCCAGCTGTCACTCCACTGCGCCTGGCCAAGAAAGAGTCCCGCACGTAACCCCTGTAAAACCTCTGTCATACAACACTACACAGATTAAACAAACAATATGTTAAGTGTTGATAATCAGTTTAGAGGTGCTGGCAGGTAGATTTGTAAACCTTCAGACAGACTCAGGCTAGCCATTTCCCCATTTCAAGTCTTTATGCTAAGCTAAGCTAACCAGCTGCTGAATGCAGTGTCATATTTAAAGGACACATCTAAGAGTGGTATTGATCTTCTCATCTGACTTTTGGAAAGACGTCTAACAAGCATATTTCCAACAATGTTTAACTATTCCTTTGATTATTTGTTTATATTTCCAAAAAATTATTTCAAATCTTTAAGTGATTCTCTGTTATGGTAAAAATTTGCGATTTGAAAAAACATCATCTTTAGGTATTATGCATTAAGACTCAAAAACGCAGGTTTCATTGTGTTCTCAGTAGGGCTGCTCCCAACTAAGGATTTTCCTAGTCGGCCAATAGTCGTCATTTAGGGCCATCAGTTGACTAGTCACCCGCATGTTTACGATATTAATTTAATTATTAGATGATATATTTTGGGTGGGGCAACACAATGGTTTGAGTTGAAGGTGTGAGAAAGAATAGTATCAGTAACATTGTTAACACTGTGCTACATTACAGAGAAATACAAAACCGTACTAATGAACCTTCATTAATATAGGCCTATATTTTATCTACAAGTGCACATCACACACTGAGCGAGCCATCTGTTAATGATGCTGTGGACTAATGGGCATGTAGCTACTTCGATGTTTCAGATGATACGTCATGTTTGTAGTCGACCAATGAAGATGAGTTTACATATCACCTTGGGTTCGTCCTTCACCTTCTCAAAATGATCCCACACTTTGGATTTCCTGCCCGACATGTTACTAACTAGCCTGTGGAAGAACCGCAGGTACCAGCCCTGGAAATTAACCTGACTCCTGTCTGACTGCTGAGCGTGGACACTTCCTGTGTCTGTCCTTTCAAATTAAACTCCCACATGGTCCAGTCAGATAGGTTTGGATTTATTTTGACACTCAGTTACCTGGTCGACTAACATTTGGTCGACTATCAGGGAGCAGTCATAGTTTTCAGGGTCTTTAATCTTTGAAAATGCTGGATCACTCAGGCTCAGCATTAAAGTAAACCATATTCTTCAGAGTAATTCACTTTTAGGCTACGTTTTTTTTTTTGTTGAATATTAAAGTGTGCCAAGGTAGTGCCATGTGTTGTTGTCTACCTCAATCTTCAGTCTGTTTTTTTGGAAGGGTGTAATTTCCTGAACAATTTGACCATAGATTAATGAATAACAATAGTTTAAATCTGTCACAGTTCTAGTGATGAATACTTCTTTCCCTCTGATATGCTGTGATTAAGATGCTCCTCTGTTCATCTCCAGTTTTTCCATGAGTCAGCGGCTTTATCCTGTGTCTGCACGGAACTGGTTCACCCTGGACTCTGTGCAGCTGCAGTTCAACGGTACAAATGTAACTTTCTTCGGGGCCCGCTACATCTACGCCCCTGCAGAGTACTCCTTCCACTGCCAGTCCGTCACCAACTACATAGATCCTCTGCTAGTGACAAACAACACCAGCCCAAACATCCCAGACTGGAGGCTCAATTTTGTCGACTTCCAGGTACGACTAAAGCGCTGCGTTACACATCCTGCCAATCGATATTTCTGCAGCAGTGCATTAAGTACTTTTTTAATGGAGAGTTTTTAATAATCAGGTGTCTCTTAAGGCTTCCTGTTCATTGAATGTTTTATGTATTTTCTGATACAGATTCAAGGCTTCGGTTTGGCCAACGGAACAAACTTCTCCTATGCCAGTGACTGTGCAGGCTTCTTCACTCCAGGGATTTGGATGGGGCTTTTGACCTCACTGCTCATGCTGTTAATTTTCGTGTATGGTCTGCACATGATCATGCAGCTTAACACCATGGATCGATTCGACGACCCCAAAGGTCCATCGATATCAGTGCCTCAGACGGAGTGAAGTGCTCCTGGACACACACTCCTCAGTCCTTCAGTGCCTCCTCGGAGAGTCCCTCCTTGTCGTGTTACTTTTGTGTCTTTGGGCCTTTTTTCCTTTGAAGGTATTTGTCCGGCACATGGACGTTTCCTCTGATGTTCTCCCCTGTAGTTACTCTCCCAAATCTTTCCACAGCTGTCTTTGAGACACCCTAATCTTGCAAGGCACATTCCTTTTCATCTCGCCACATTTGCAAGTGCCAAAGTGGATGCACCTTTTTATACGAGTTGATTTCGAGTGCTAAAAGATGTTTTTGTGCCGCTGTTGGCCAGACACAGTGGCTGCCTTCCCTAAAATCATTTGCAATAATTTCTCGCACCAGAGAATGTCTTGTGTGCCAACATGAATGTGATTGCTGGATGCTGTGGGACCGTTTCAGACCTCACTTCTTACTTTTAAAACGTTTTTTCCAACTCGACTGTAATTTAAAGACTACTGGTTATGAAAGAAGTGCCTGTATATAAAGAGTAGATTGCTGTTTGTGACTGTGGAATTGCCTTACAAAGTATGAAAACCTTGGATTTAGCTCTGCACAGACAAATCCAACCCAAGTGCCACCACTTAAGGGACTGTTTGTTATTTATGAGGGGAAAGGGGGTGATGCAAAGAGGTCATAGTCAAATGTTGTTTTAAGCACTGGGGAGGGCCTTTTGTTTTTTATTTTGGCTTAGGGGAGAAGCATACAAAGTTAAACGGTTGTAATTTGTATTTATTTTACCGTAGATTTTTAAAGAAAACATGCAGGCAGGTTTGTAAGATATTTATCACAGCCAGAAGCTAAAAAAAGAGGAATTATTGTTGGATTTTCATATTTCCAACAGTCCTTGGTCACATGATGTCTGGCGAATACCTCCTTCAGGAAAAACAATAACTAAATCTGTGCTGAAAATAGTGATATTTAATCAAAATCACTTAATTCTACGTCTCATTTCAAATTTGGCTAACAGTTTGAACTACCGAACGGACGCGCGACACGAGTCAAAAACCAAGGCTTTTTCCAACTTCAGGGTCTATCTTCAATGTTTAATTTTAAACTTTCAAAAGCTAAAGGGTGAAGTTTTAAAAATCTAATAATTTTTGGTGGAGGGAGGGTCATGCATTTCCTGCCAGTCACGCAGGGAGGCTCAAGGAAAAATATTGGAGCTTTGGAAAGTCACCGTCCTCCTCCTCTGACAAGTAAAGAACAGTCCCTGAAAACAAAATTTTCTTAAGAATATTTTATTTATGTAACAAAAAAAAAACTTTACCAGTTTACCACTTATAAAAAAAAAGAATATCAGTGCTTCAGTTCTGCTTTTGTTATTTTTTTTTTTTAATGTCAACATTGTCGGTGTTTAATTTTTAACTTTAAAACATCAAAGGGTAAATTTTAAAAATTAAATAAGTAATTTGCGTGGAGGGAGGGTCATGCATTTCCCACTAGTCACTCAGGGAGGCTTAAGGAAGAGCATTTAAGCTTCAGGGAGGGTCAAAATTCAAAACCCGAAGTCACCCTCCTCCTCTGATAAGTAAAGAACAGTCCCTAAAAAAAAAAAAAAAATTCTACACAATATTTATGTAGAAAACAGTTTACCACTTGCTTCAGGTTCATCAACAAATTTAATAACAGTGCCTCAATTCTGCTTTTGTTGAACTTATTAATGTGCAATTGCCATGAAGTGTACATTGTCTTTAAATGAAAATAAAGATATAATATTGTGATTTAACTGAGTTGTGTAATGTTTTGAAAGACGCACGCCAATCCAAGGAAACTATAAAGTTTCTTAGCGCCAACTGAGGAAATGTCATCCATCTGTATAATGCAGGGACTCAGCTGTCATCATGGTTGCCATCGTTACCACAAGTCAAAACACGACCACGTCATCGCAGCTGAATGTACGCGAGCGTGACTTTACTCTTTCCTTCAGTTTCCGTCGCTTTCTTGACCACAGGTTGTTCCCAACATGTCAGCAGCTCCTGTTCACAGAGTATTCTTTGGCAGCTCTCAGGAGAGGAGACTCTTTCCCCTCCATTATGCTCCGGACCGGCTGGGAAACCAAATGTCACGACAGGAAGTGCCTGACCTCGGCCCCGGCTGCTATGACAACCATGAGGTCCGTCTCTTTGATATCTGACATACATTTTTCTCTCAGTATAATCTGTCCTTGTCACATCTTTTGATACAGAAATCAATGCATTTTGAAACCATACTTTGCAGTTGGTTTGCTTTATTAAGTGTAACTATTACATGACTATAGGAAGTGTAAATGTTTCCATCTCCTGCACAGTTTGGCACCATGCTGTATGCCTTAGAGAAGACACCGGGGAGTAAGAAGGGATACGGTCTGTCTGCCAGGACCGCGTTGCGTTTTCCGTCCTGCAACAAGGTACATGACACACATTTACCACTAATGAGTAACCTGCTCTGTCAGCTCTGGATCACACTTTATAATAGTGGCACAAGTCATACACTCACAGCAGGGGTGTAAATAAAGACAGTGCAGGCTGTGCGGTTACACAGGGGCCTGTGGGGTGGAGGGGCCCCTTGTAAATAATCCACAACTACATCTGTGTTCAAAGAAGAGCTCACATTAAATTAAAAATGAAAACTTCTCTTTTATTTTTGGTAAAATAACTAGTAGCAAGCTATAACAAAATTACACTCACTGGCCACTTTATTAGGTACACCTGTTCAACTGCTGGTTAACGCAAATAGTTTATGCATTTAGGCATGTAGACATGGGCTGTGACTCAATTCAGGGGCTGCAGCCTTTGCAGTCGACGTCGGCCACGTCCTTTGAAAACCACATCAGCCAAACCAGACGGTCTCCGAAATGGGACGGTGTGGTCTGCAGAGGATTTCCTGGTTGCATCACTAGTTGTTCTCATCCCGAACCGTTGGCATTTCCTGTTACCTAGCAACCAGCTGCACTTTACAAAAGAAGGAGTAAGCTAGTAAGTTAGTTAGCCCTAAATCATGGACCCACAGATTGTTATTTTATATATATTTTTGTAATCTAATACTAGGCCGGCAGTAGATCAGTCCATAGGGACTTGGGTTGGGAACCGGAGGGTCGCCTGTTGAAGTCCCCGTCCAGACCAAAATATGGAGCATGGACTGGTAGCTGGAGAGGTGCCAGTTCACCTCCTGGGCACTGCCGAGGTGCCCCTGAGCAAGGCACCGAACCCCCCAACTGCTCGGAGCGCCTGTCATTGGCAGCCCACTCTGACATCTCTCCACTTAGTGCATGTATAGGTCCAGTTTGTGCATGTGTGTGTTCGGACCTGTGTGTAATTGACAACAGAGTGAAAAATTGAATTTCCCCTCAGGGATTAATAAAGTATATAAAATTTAAAAAAAAAAAAAATTCAAAAAGAGATGATTCACCACCAGAAACACCGCCGTTTGATGTATTTCAGGCTGATGGAGGACCGTTTTCAGATTAACTAGCTAATAGTAATGTAAACAACAGCTAACAACTCTTAGTTAACTTATATATAATCATCACCGGCATGCAATGCATCTTGGGATAGGCTGGGCCACGAAGGCAATCATCCGTTGCATCCTCCAAATTCTGGGAAAGAAGGCTGCATTTCTTGACCACATTTGAAGGAGCCTTCGAAATGAACGTGGCATGGTTGTTGGTGCCAGACGGGCTCTGAGTATTTACTAGGATTTTCACACACAACCATCTCTAGGGTTTACAGAGGATGGTCCCAAAAAGAGAAAATATCCAGTGAGCCATAATGCCTTGTTGTTGCCAGAGGTCAGACGAGAATGACCAGACTGGTTCAAGATGATAGAAAGGCAACAGGAAGTCAAATAACCACTGGTTCCAACCAAGGTCTGCAGAAGACCATCTCTGAAGCAACAACACGTCCAACCTTGAAGCAGATGGGCTACAGCAGCAGAAGACCACACCAGGTGCCACTCCTGTCAGCTAACAACAGGAAACTGAGGCTACAGTTCACACAGGCTCACCAAAACTGGACAATAGAAGATTGGAAAAACGTTGCCTGGTCTGATGAGTCTGGATTTCTGCTGCCACATTCAGATGGTAGGGTCAGAATTTGGTGT